CCTCTGCCACTAACTTGCTGTGTAACCTTGGGCAGTCCCCTCCCCCTCCAAGGCCCTTGCTTGTTTAGAAATTCTCAGGTTCAGCTAAGGTCAGGCTGCTGGGGAAGCTGGGAGGAGACACAAGCCATGGGCAGCAGATAAGTGTGGTTAATGAGTAACCTCATGGGAAAGAACCAGAGAGGGTGGGTGACAGGTGAAGGGGGCAGGGAGGGGTGGGCTCTCTCTGGTGCAGTCATTTATAGGTAACCACATCTTCCTATGTAGGCAGAAGGAAGCTGGTGACCAAGGAGAGGGGAGGAGGTTCAGTGTTAATGACACGTCCAGATGAAGTCATTCAGGGTTGGAGTGAGTCGGAGATGAATTTTGGACTTGAGGCTGCCTGGGTTCATCTTCTTTTGTCCACTTATAAGACTTATGTTGATTATATTCGAGTGGTGGATGATTAGGGGCTGGAGACTGGAAGACAGAGTGCCTCCTTCTCATTCCCACACCAGACAGTGGATCAGAAAGGAAGGCGAATATCTATGGGAAGCGAAGAGTCAGCATCACAAGCACAGATTTAGAGCTGATAGTGAAGGGGTCAGGGGACCTGAACCCCTAAAGGAAAAAACCATGTCTGAAAGCAACCCAGTCCCTGAATTTGCCCATACATTTCCCCTTGACAAGGTATGGGCCCTGGGAAACCTCCCCCCACCCCAACTTTTCTTGAAGTTTCCCACATGGCCAAGGCTCTGTTCACCTGAGACTGCAATCCTCTCAAATGACCTTTCATTGTGGTCTATACCCAAACCTCCAATTCTGTTACCTCTAACTTAGCCTGGCCCCTCCTTCCTCGTCTGGATGGCCCCAGGTCACTTGTACGTCCCAGTCACCCCAGCCTACTGTCCACTCCCATCCAGAAATTCCCATAGTCTTTCTGTATATGTGTCCATCTTGTCCCCATTAAATCACTCAGATTCCCTAGGAGTCTGGCCAATAGTGAAGATTCTTAAAATCACGCCCACTCTGACCTGTGTTCTAATAATCCTTGTCTTTGGCTGAAAGAAGGCTTGGGTTGAATTCCTTTGAAGCAGGACCTGCATCTCTATTTCAGGGTCCAGTGATAAGGATGGGATCTAGACCCCAAAAAGGAAAAACCCTGGACTTTCCCACAAGGCCAAATCTCTGGCTTTTGCCTGAGGCTATAATCCCATCAAATGGCCTTTTATTGTGGCTACATCCAATCTCTGCTAACCCTTAACCTAGCCTGGGCCTCTATTGCTTTAGCTCCCTGTGGCCCCTGGCCATTTCCCACACTTAATCTTAGCTAGGCTCCATTGTCCAGGTCCCAGGAGTCCTGTTCACCCCAGCTTACTGGCCACTCCCATTCAGATCTTCCTTAGACCCCTCCTCCAGTCACCCCAAACTACTTGGCCACTCCTAGATCCCTCCCACAGTCTTTCTGTATATAAGGTCTATCTTGTCTCCGTTAAGGTGCTTAGATTCTTAAAATCTAGCCACTGCTCATATTCTTATAATCTAGCCACTAGCTTACTAATGTTCAGACTGCTTAAGAGTCTGCCCAATATGACAGATGTTCTAATAAACCTTGTCTTTGGCTGAAAGAAGGCTTGGGTTGAATTCTTTCAGGCAGGATCCGCATGTTGTGAATTGGGGCCCCAGCATCCCAAACCCCTAACCAGCACCCCTCAACCTCAACATCCTTACATTTTGGGCTTCCCAGCACCCCAAACCGCAACAGAAGGAGCCTTGGAGGCCATTAAATCCAACTCTTCTCACTTTATAGATGAAAAAAATAGTCTAGGAAAGTCTAAGGAAAAATTACTAGCCCAAGACCTCACAGCTAATAAGGCAAGATTTGAACTCAGGTCTTCCTAAGTGTAGAGCTTTGTCCTCTACAGCACCTAGGACCCAAGATGTGAGCACTTGCAGAAAAACCAAGCTGCTTGGACTCACAGGAACCTGCATCTCTACGGACAGATCACTTGGAACATTCTTAGAGAAGGAGATGACTGTTAGGACCAGCATTTTACTCATCTACATTCTTGACTCTCAGTCCAGGGAACCAAATTCCTGCTGGCAGGTGGAACCTCCCAGGGAAAATCCACTTAGCACTTGCATGGAGCTGCCTTCGTATGGGAAATAGGAAGGAACAGGTGGGTATACAACCCTCCTCAGGTTGTCCTGCCCCTATGTAAAAGTTTCCTACTGATTCCTCATTGGTGGAGGTGATGGCCTAGGCTTTGAGACATTCTACCAGGAGAGCTCTCCCCGTACATTGTAAGTAAGCTCCACGAGGGCAGGGCCTGCTTCATTTTTGTTGGTTTGTTTTCTTGTCTGGATAGCCCTAAGGTGAGCACAGGGCCTGGCCCCTGGCAGCTGCTAAATAAATATTAGCTGAATTGAATGTTTGTTTCATGAGGTCCTTGACAAGCTAGAACTTTGGGCCAAATCAAACAAGAAAAAAATGTCAGAGAGATAAATGTGAAGTCTAACATTTGGGTCCAAAAAGTCAACTCCAGTGGTATAAAGAAGGATTGTTAGCCAGACAGTCATGTGTGCTCAAAAAATCTGGGGGACTTGGGGAACTACCCTAGAAGCTCAGGAGATACCCATAGTGCAATATGGAAGCTGAAAAGTCCATGGGATCTTGGAGTGTGTCAGAGAGAGTAGGGAGGCGGAAGTCCCACTGGCCTCCAGTCTAGCCACAGCTGGCGATTGTTTTCAGTTTTGGACCCACAGGTTAGAAAGGAGGTCACTAAAGCTCAGAAGAGGGTGCCTGGGATGGGGGGGACCTTGGGTTAGTGATGATGAGTCAGGATGAGCTGAAGGAACTGTAAGCTCTTTGAGGGCAGAGATTATTTCACTTTTGGTCTCAGTACACCTAGTTCCTGGAACCATATTAAGCACTGAGTGAAGCTTATTGATTGAAATTGGAATGTTCAGGCCACAGGAGAGAAGACTGGGGGGCACAGTGCAATCTCTAAGTATTTCAGGGGCTGTTGTACAGCAAACACCTAAGGCTGGTTTGACTTGGCCTCAAAGTATAGGATAGCACAGTGCAAAGGACCCAGGGCTCTGGAGTTGGAGGGCCTGGGTTCAAATCTTGCCTCTAACACTGTATGTGACTTTGGGCAAGTCAACTGACCATCCTCAGCCTCAGTTTCTTCCTCAGTAAAGTTATGGGACTGGACTAGATTTCCTCCAAGTTCTCTTCCACCTCAACATCAATGATCTTATGTTTCAAATCAAAGGAAAGGGAAGCTGGAGAGAGGTAAAGTTTGGCTGCCTGTAAGGAGAAACTTGCTAATGATGAGAAATATCTAAAATGGGAATAGACTGCTTTGGGAGGGAGTGGCGCAACTCTGCTAGGCCCCTGTACCCAGTGATTGACCCAGCTGGTTGGAAGGACCCCAGGCAGGTGCTGTCTGTCCATCCAGTACGCATGTCTGCCTGTCATGCTCAACACTCAACACCCTCCACACTGGAAGGTGGCATTGGTGACCATCATCCAGCTTCCTGTGCCCCGGGAGGCCATTCACTCCTTTATGGGTGGCCTCATTGCTTTACTCTTCTGCCACCTCCTCCATGTTTCCCTTTCCCTCACTCCCCTTTCAGTTTAGCAACTCTAGTAAATCGATACTGACACTGCTCCTGGAAATAGGGTATCAATCCGCTCCCCTATGGCTCCATTCACCATCTCTGTGACTTTCCAAAAAGGGCAACATGGAGGTGTCAGCCTGGACTCCTCACTCTCTCTCACCCCTCCCCCATCCAATATGGTGCCAAGGCCTGTTAATTTCACCTCTGTAGCATCTCTCAAATATGACCCCTTCTCTCCTCTGACCCTCTGATACAGACCTTCATCACTTCATGCCTGGACTATTGCAACAGCTCTTGAGGCTGCCTGCCTCAGCTCTCTCCAAAAGTGATTTTCCTAAAGTGCAGGCCTGATCACATCATCCCAACACATACCCAAAACCCTGTTGAATAAACTCCAGTGGCTCCCTATTACCTCCAAGATCAAATATAAAATCTTTTAAAGCCCTTCATAACCTGGACCCTGCCTTCCCTTCTTCTCTTCTTATACCTTACCCCTTCCCCACTACTCTGAGCTCCAGGGACACTGGCCTTCCTGCCAATCTCCGAACATGACACCCATCTCCTGAATCATCTTCCCTGCCCTCCCTTCTCATCTCTGCCTCCTGGCTTCCCTGGTCTCCTCCAAGTCTCATCCAAACTCCCATCTTCCACAAGAAGCCTTTCCCAATCCCTCTTAAGTCTAGGGCCTTCCTTCTGTTGACTAGCTCCAATTTATCCTTGTTTGTACACAGCTATCTGCATGTTGTCTCCCTGTTAGATTATAAGCTCCTTGAGGCAGGGATTGATTTGTTTTATTTTTTCTTTTCCTTTCTTTGTATCCCCAGTGCTTAACACAGAGTGAAGACATTAAGTGCTTAATAAATGCTTGTTGACTTGGGATCTATGCAGATGACTCCTAAGTCTCTCTGTCCAACCTGGGTCTTTCTTCCTAAGCTGGTAGACCATCACTGTAAGATGATAGGACATTAGATCTGGAGGTATGGTGAAGGCTAGGGAGCACTGTGCTCCCCCTTTCTTGACCTGACTCATGTCATTCTAGAATAAGCTGCCATTTTGGTATTCAATGGGTAGTCACATTCACCTGGATGGTTTCCTTTCTTTTTCCTCAGTTTGTGGAGAACACATTAGTGCTATGGGAACTCAACCAGTAGTACCAGACAGCCCTGCCCCTGTCCCCCTCCTCCTCAGGAGAGATTCAGCCAGCTTTGCTCTAAGTACCTGACCAATGGGCATTAGGACAGGGGTCCCAGAGCCCATGTGCTATGGGGAGTGAGGGAGTGAAGGAGCATTTGGTAGGAAGTCACTATAATGCAATAAAAGAAGAAAATATAGAAAACCATAAATGCAACATTTAAAATATATATATTGAAGAGAGCAGAAGTAAGTTCAAAAGGGAATGAGCAGGGAAGTTTTGTTGACAACATTTAATATGTACATACACATACACACAAACCCCAACCAAATGATACGTAACCAAAGTTCACCATTTCATGTACAGCCTTCTTTTCTATTCTTTGTATATTGAACTTTCTGTGTTCACTAAGTTCACGATAAAAAATAGAAATATTAAGTCAAGAGACATGGCAAGATAGGAAGAGTGACCCAGTGACCATCAGTCCACATTCTTCACGGTTGGAGCCACTTCTAGGAAAAGCTGAAGTTGTGCTGTGGCCTCCTGCAAGAGTCGGGGCTGGGATCTGAAGTAAATGATGGGGAAATACACCACGATGCCACTGAGCATGAACAGGAAGACGTAAAGGAATTCCATCTGTGGTTGGTCAATGATGGGCGCCAGGACCAGGTAGATGGAGGCCAGCAGCACAATGATTGGGATGATGATGGGGACCTTCAGAGGAAGACGACACCGACTACTGGTCATTCCAGCCCCTCCCAGCCCCCATTTCATAGACGTGGAAACTGAGGGCTAGAGCTGGAAACAGGGAGCAGAGTAGATGTCCTGCCTGATGTCCTTTCTCTTCATCCAATGGCTTTCAAAGGCTTCTTTCTAACACTACTTCTGGGAATTTCCATCGATTGTATTTTACCTTTACTAACGACCCAATAGATCTCACAAGAGACAAAGAGTCTAAAATGGACCCTGGAACTTCCTTTTCTTCACAGATGAAGACTGAATTGTAATCTCTAGAGTGGTGGGTGCTGCAGGCTGGGCGCTTCCTCTCCCTCTCGAATCAGGAAAGGTAGGAGGAGAGGAAGGGGAGGGGATCAGAGAAGAAAGCCCTTCCCTGATCTAACCCAGGCTGATGAGAAAGGATGGCAGCCAGCTGCCTTGCTCATCCCTAGGGTTAACCCAGAGCTCAGCTCCTGGCCCATAGCAGGTGCTTAATAAATGTTTGTTGATTGACTGTTGGATTGACTTTGAGGTTCATCGGTCACAGGAGTTTTCCCCAAAATAACTGCTCCACCATCTATCTTGCTGACCTCAGGTTTCTCCTGACCCCAAGGTCAGCCTGCTTCCCATCATGCCTGGCTGATCACAGGTCTCTAAGGTCTAGTCCAACTCTAGACTCTATGGACAGCTATGGCTGCAGACCCCAGTAGCCCATACCACAGAAGCTGGACCAGTTCTGGCTTCTGGGCTAGTGAAATCTCAGCAGAGCTGGAGGCTCTCCCACCTGAGTTCTTCCTTTTGCCTGCTCAGTCCCTTCCCTGGGCTCACACCCTGTTCCTTTCTGGTGAGCTCTAAGACCTGTCACCCCCAAGACAGAAGGCATCAGGAGATACCACCAAGTTGACGGCTATCAACCAAATGGGATGGAGCAAGAGGTTGATGCAAACAAAAGGGTCCTCAATTCCATCCCCCTTCTCCCACTGGTGAGCTCTTCTGGAACCTCCGTTTTGAGGAAGACCAGCCATCTTTCATTCCTCTCCTTCTCTGCTTCTGACTGGCTGGACTTCCCCACAAGGTCTCCACCCCAGCACTTCCTTCTTCTGCCCCATTAGGAGGTAAGCTTCTTGGGGGCAGGGTCTGTTTGTCTTTTTACTTGTATCCTCAATGGCTGGCACATGGTAAGTGTTGACTCAATTTACCTTGTATGATCTTGGCAAGTCTTCCTTCTTAACTTTCAGATAAAGGAGGCAGCTGATGGTAGATCCATGAATCATCCACAATATAAAGCTAAGAGAGAACATGCTAGCTTATTCCCTGCCTTGAGTAAGGGCCACAGTCAGGGAGGGAGGGAGCTAGGGCTGGCCATGTGCCAGGGGCAGCCCCTGACTGATTCCAAGGCCATTTCTCCTGCAGCCAACCCCCCTAGAGGAGGGGAAGGAGGCAGCCATCTTTAGGGCCGTGGAGTCGGGGAGACCTGGGCTTGGCACTTGCTGAGTTCGGTGACCCTACCCTAGGCGAGACTCTTCACCTCCCTTCCCTCCACTAGAGACCCGGGATAATACTAGGTCCTTCTCCAGGATTGCTGGGAGGGTCAAGTGAGATAACATGTGTGAAGGGCTTTTGGGAATAGTAAATCACCACAGAAATGTAGCAGCTGCCGCCTCTGCCTCTGTTGGGACGGTCAGCAGCAACAGCAGAGGCTACCCCAGCAGCCAGTCAGCTCCTCAAAGCCACCGCCGCCCCCCCCCACTGAAATAACTGGGAATCTCCCCCTCCTTGTTCCTGGAAAACTCCTCAGTACAGACAGCTCAGGATTGTATTCAGTCTTTTGACTAGTGCTCATGACTCACCTTGAGCTCAGAGTGCACTAAAACCTAAAGATCTTTTTTAGAGAAACCACTGTGTCACAGGCTGCCTGCCATCTTGGAATGAGGTTGATTTTTGGAACCCAAGAGTCAAACATTTAGCCTTATATTTGCTAACCTGACTCCTCTTAAGAAAGACATGTTGGCCATCCTAAAATGAGAAGTCGGTTGATTTTCTCTCCTCTCTGACCCCCAGCCCAGTGGCAGGGGACGGAGGCAGCACTCTGGGTGTCAGAGTCCTGTGGCCAAATCTCCAGCGTTCCAAGACTTTGGATCAGTCCTCTCCCTTCTGTCCTGCTCTGTCGGGGAGACGTGTCCCTAGAGCTCCTCCCACTTTGCCTTCTCACCCTCTCCTCCTCCCCACCCCCACCCTACCCTCATGGTCTCAGCAGTAGCAGGAGCTTTGCCCTTGCCTGCAAAAGTTGACAATGCTGCTGAAGTTTCCAGGGATGATCATGATCAGAGCCACTGCCGACGTGAACGTCAGAGCTGGAGAAGGGGTGAGATACTGGACGTGGGCCATGGACAGGATACCTGGCTGAGGTGAAGAAGGTGGTTAAGCACTGGCAGGGACCTTCTGGGAGGACAGTCACAGGGGATGGAGGCTTCCTCTTGGCCAGCACAGAAACTCCTGAGCCAGTCCTGACTCAGAGGATACGGGTGGGGGCCAGCCTGGGCAGTGAGTGCCTTCTCCCCCCAGCCCCAGCTGGAGCAGCAGGGCCTGGAGAAGGGAGCTTGCGGCAGGGGCAGGAAGAAGCCCCATGAGCCAAATGGTGTGGCCCTTCCTTACCATATGCCCCTCCCTGGCCGCAACGTAGCACACTCGGCTCCCGCTGAAAAACGCTCCGTTTACTGACCCGAATGTTGAGAGAGCCACTGACAGGGGCACCAGCCAGGCCCAACCTCCCAGCATTTGATTCCTAGAAAACACAAAGGGCAAGAAAATAAATGTGCATGGATTTGCACATTTATTCCTTCTCTTTCCCTGATTTGCTCTCTACTCAAGCAAACCATAATCCTGCTGGGGGGAGGGCCTGTTCTGGATCTTCAGATCCTTTTAAGCAGCTGGGACAGAGCCGGCCTATTGTAGCTGTGGCTGTTGAGTTGTTTCAGGTGTGTCTGATTCTTCATGACCCCATTTGAGATTTTCTTGGCAGAGATACTGAAGTGGTTTGCCTCCTCCTTCTCAGCTCATTTTACAGATGGGGAAACTGAGGCAGAAAGGGTGACGTGACTCAGCCAGGGTCACACAGCTAGGAAGTGTCTGAGGCCAGATTTGAACTCAGAAAGAGGAGTCTTCCTGACTTCAGGGCTGGTGCTCTATTGTAGGACCAGAGAAATACTTCAAGGCAGGGGCCGAAAGTGGCTGGGGAGCCAAGGGCTAGGGACCATTTTCCTGAAGACTTTCCTCACAAGTCTGTGAAGGAGGGAACGCCGGGATTACTGTTGCCATCGAAGGAGGGGTAAACTGAGGTTGAGAGGTGTCCGAGGCCAGAGCTGACTCCCTCCCCAGCAGGCTGGCATACGGGAGCCACAAGAGGACAGGTGCACGGACGCTAAGGGGAACTAGCGGGGAGAAGGACTGGAGGTTGGAGAACGGGAGGAGAGGATGGCCAGCCCCAGGACCAGGGGTCCTGGGTTCCGATCCTACCTTGGCCACTCGCCAGCCAAGTAATCCAGGGCTACTCACTTTCCTTCTCACAGGTGGCTGAGCATGACATTTTCCTAGTCTATACTTGGGATTCTATACAAGGAGAAGGTCCTGAGAAAGAACCCTGGGGGTCATGTTGGGACAGTGAAGGCATTTGCCTCTCACTTTTTAAGTAGGAAAGAGGGTTTTCCTTCTCTGGACTCAGTTTCTACCTCTGAAAAGTGGGAACAATGGTGCTTGGGCTTTGTCCACACTCAAACACTATAGGGACTTCAGGTTATCCTTTCTGCCCAACCCTGGAGTTTTCCCCCAAGGGACACCCTGTGGCTGCTGCTCACCCCCAGGTGACTGCCAGAGCGCTGGAGCCCCGGATGTCACTGGGACTCATGACCACCATGTAGCTCAGGTTCACGAGTATGTAGAGGACAGTGACCAGGGGGATGGAGATCACTACAGCCCTCACCAGGTTCTTCTGCAGAGGGAAACACAAAAAGGGACTCAGGTGCCCTCCTCCCGCTCCCCACCCCCATGCTGGATTCTCAATATTTAAGCATTTTCTTCTGTTGCTGCCAGGGGAAAAGCACCTAGTCCCGGTACTAAGGGTGGACAGAGATGATAGGCCATGGCCCCTGCCTGCCCTGGGGGGCTTAGGATCCAGGTATGCAGATACATTCAAGAACAGGGAACTAGCAATATGAGCGGGGGACCAGCCTGAGCCTTCAGAAAGGGCTGAGTGAGGGTATCTCACTTGGGGATCTTTGTGAGATGAGGTGGGGGGAGGAGGAGGAGGAGGAGGAAGAAGGAGAAGAAAATAAAGAAGAGGAGGAAGGAAGAAGAGGAAAGAAGGGGAGGGGGAGGAGGTGGTGGAGGAGGAGAAAAGGAAGAAGAAGAAAAGAAAGAAAGAAGAAGAGGAAGAAGGAAGAGGAAGGGAGGAATTTTAATATTTCTATAATACCTTTAGACCTGCAAAACCTTGGCCTCTCCTGGGCAAGGAGAGCTGCAGCTTCCAGGAAGGAGCTTGGGCTCTTTCTAGCCCCTCATCTGGAGGGTGGCCATCAGTTCTGGGCTCTACCGTTTAGAAAGGACACTGATCAGCCCTGTCCAGCAGAGGGTAGCCAGGCTGGGGAGGGCCCCAGAGTCCAGCTGGGCAGCGGCTGGAGGAATGGAAGAGAGTCAGCCTGGGAAGACATGTGTGGGATACAGTGAGTGGGCACAGCTGTCCTCAGGCACTTGCAGGCTCTCCTGCTGAAGGAGATTAGCCTGGCTCTACTTGCAGGACTGGGAGCCTTTCTATGGAAGATGCAGAGGCCATTTGAGGCCACAGGTCAAAAAAGAGACCCCTGACCACGAGAGTCGCCCCAAAGTAGAATGGGCTACTGGGGTGTGCTGGCGGCTCCCTCTCCCGTCCTCAAAAGTGCTGAGCCTAGGCTTGAAAACCTTTTGTCCAGAAAGTCAGAGTGGGGATTCCTCCCCCCCATCCTCCTTCCTTATTTTCATACTCCCTTCTTCTTTCTTTCCTTCCTTCCTTCCTTTCTCCTTCCCTCCCTTCCTCCTCCCCTCCTTCCTTCTCTCCTTCCTCCTTCCCTCCTTCATTCCCTCCCTCTTCTTCTTTCTTTCCTTCCTTCCTTTTCTCTTCCTCCTCTCCTTCCTTCCTACCTTATTTCCACCCTCCCTCTCTTCTTTCTTTCCTTCTTTCCTTCCCTTCCTTCCTCCTTCCCTCTTCCCTCCTTTCCTCCTTTCCTCCTTCCTTCCCTGATTTCTTCCTTCTTTCTTTCCTTTCTTTTCTCCTTCCCTCTCTTCCCTCCTTCCTTCCTTATTTACACCCTCCCTCCATTCTTCCTTCTTTCTTTCCTTCCTTACTTCTCCCTCCTTTCTTTCTTCCTAATTTCTTCCTTCCCTCCTTCCTTCTTTCCTTTTTTCCTTCCCTTCTTTCTTTCCTTCCTTCTTTCTTTTCTCCTTCCCTCCCTCCCTCCCTCCCTCCCTCCCTTCCTTCCTGTTTAAGCTGGACTAAATGGAGGCCATAGGATCAGATGTCAGGGTCACCTCCAGTTGTCAGATTCTGTGATTCTGTAAGAGCTGCTCATAGTGATGGGAGTGTGGAAACAGCATCAGGGCCTCCATTGTGCTCTATAAAGTAAGATTGTTAGGCCAGCCCTTTCTCTCCCATAGCAGCATGCTGCAGCTCACAGTGAGGGGTATTTGACCAAAGCTCATAGAGTTGAATTAAGCCTTAGACTTTTAGCACAGTGGATCCTTGGGGACTTTCTAACCTGCCTCAATGACCCTCAGGGCTATCAGCTCTCAGCTCTGCTCAGGACGGAGAACAGGGCCCAGGGCCTTGTGTGTGTGTGTGTGTGTGTGGAGGGGGGATGTGCTGGAAGGGGATGTGAGTCCATCTAAAGGCTGACAGCCCTGGATTTGGGGCAGTGTCAGATAGAGGGAAGAGGAAGGGCAGGGGAGAAGAAAGGAAAGGGAAAGAGAAGGGGGAAAGAGAGGAGGAGAAGAAGAGGAAGGGATGCTGGACAGGACAGGAACTATAAGGGCAAGGTGTGTATTGGGGTCAGCTGGTACCTGCTTGAGAGAGCCAATTGTTAAAATTTCAGTACAAGCATTTACACCTTGGAAACTGGCAAACACAATAAATCAGGTCTTGCTTTCTTGTTGCATTCTTGTCTAAACTTAAGGAAGTGATCAGGGAAATGGGAATAATGCAGATGAAACTTTAAAAATCTGTCTGGGATGCATTTTGTTCCCTTTGGAGAGCCGGTAGTTAAACATTTACCAACACACAGTCGGGTAAAGGTGTGGTTACAGAAAATAGTAAGATAAATCAGTTAATAAAAAGGCAATTATTAAATGTTCAGCGCTTGTGATAGATAGGCAAGTAAATAAATACGAGCCAATGCTGCAGTTGTGGGAACGAAGGACCAGTTTCCACTTCACAGCTGAGTGGAGCTCTGGATTCCTAAAGGTAAAGGTGAGAAGAGGTCGGCTGGCCTGCCCAGAGCTCTCTGGGTGGTTAACCACTTTCTTAGTTCAGGGGAATTTAGGGGAGTCCCCGGGACAGCCAAAAGCCCAGAACCAAGGTTTGACAGCAGCCCCTCCGTGGCAGCCCTGGGGCCCATGAGGGATGGGGGAGGCGAGTGAGGCGATGTCCCTGAAGGCCTGTCTCCCCTCTTTCCCCCCATGAAAGTCACTGTCTTCATCGAAGCCTCTGAGTTAAGGGGTGAAGGTCTGGTTCCAGGTGAGGTGTGCTTGGTAATGTGTCTCTCCCTGGGGAAACCCTGCCCCTGCCCAGGGCTCCTGGGTCATCCTTACCTGTCAGGCCCCCCGGGATAAGGTCATAATAACAACAGCACAATAATAGCGCATCCCCCCTGCCTGCCCCAAGCCTTCTCATGCATGGTCCTCACCACAACCCTATGAGATGGGTTCTGAAAGTATCAGTGTTCCAATTCATCGAAGAGGAAACTGAGGCCTGGAGAGAGGAAGAGGCTGGTCCCAGGGCCCATGCTAGTGAGCCTCGGAATCCCCAGGGCCCCCGTGGCAGCTCTGTCTCCCCAGCAGGCTCCCCAGGCTCAGCCTTAGCCTCTACCCAGCCAGCTGCTGCCCTGGCAGTCACATCCCCCAGTGGAGCATGGGAGGCCCATAGGGCTGGGTCCCTCCCACCCAGCCTCCAGCCCTGCTCTAGAGGGCCTTATGGGAGCTGGCAGGAAGCAGGGGCCCCTTCCTCATTGTTGGCCCTCCTGCTGCCCTACTCAGCACTCCTAGGGCTTCAGTTACAGAGGCAGCCTTGGGGAAGGGCCCCCCAACCTGCAGGGCAGAAACTCTCCCTCCCTCCCAGTCCTCCCCTCCTCCTTCCCCCTCCTGGGTTCTCCTGGCCCACTGCTTGGCTGGCTTTTTAAAATGAGTTGGCATTTGGAGTTGGAAAGGGCTTTGCCTCAGAGACAAACTGCCAGCTCCTCAGCCTGCCCTCCAGAGCCCTCCACGCCTTCCCAGCCTCTCCTGACTCTTCTCTCTTCTCCTGAATGCTCCAGACCAAACCGCTGTTGGCCAGCCCGTTTCCTCCTCTCCTCTCCCCACCGTGCCCACTGGCACAGACTGTCCTCCCATGGGTGATATGATCCCTTCTCATCTCTCTGTTGTTGCGATCATCTTCCAGGCTGCACCCCAGGCTCTGCCCCTTTGTTTAGGATGAGGGCTCCTAGAGCCTCGATGGCCCTGAGCGTTTAGCACTGTGCCCAGCAGTCCTCAGTGCTTGTTGACCGACTGACTGATCTCTGGGGGAGCTGCAAGGGAGCAAGCGGTCCCTCCTCCCCTTGTCCTAGAGCCCCGCCCCCACCCTGTAGCCTCTTTATCTGTACACATGCTGGGTCCCCCCCAGGACACTGTGGGCTCTCCCTGGAGTAAGAGAGCCTGCCATTTTGATGAAGGTAAGCTGGGGGAGACAGAAGGGTGGGGGAGCTTGTGGGAGGCCCGCATCGGAAGCCCTGGGAGCTGGGGGCCCCTGGTCAAAGCTTCCTCTTCTGTAAAAGGAGGGGTGTAATAGCATCTGCCTCATAGGGTTGTTATGGGGACAAGCTGAGATGACATAAAATGTTTTGCAGACTTTCAAGTGTTCCCCAAGTGCTTCCTGCTAGGATGTTTTTCACACGGTCCGGTCCGGTCCGGGCCGATGCACACAGCGGGTACTTAGATGCTGAATGGGCTCCTCCGCTATCCCCCTCAGTGCAGAGGGCTTCCTTCCCCTGGGGCTGTTGAGTTAAGTGAACGGCTTTCGGGGGGCCTCTGAGATAAGATGAGGCCACCTGTAATCCAAACAGAACAGACCACCTCCTGCCCAGCCCTGCCCCTTCTGGTGCGTGGTTCGTGGTGCCCAGTTAGGAATCGAGCCTGCGGATGTGCGATCGATAGGTGGGGAGGGAGGGAGGACACTCACGTCTGCCTTTCTGAGCTCTTCGGTCACCAGATTCAAACTGTTCCACCCACTGAAAGACCAGAGGCCCTGGTAGAAGGCGACGCTGATGCTTCCCGGCTGCTGGGTGGTGCCCGCGAAGGCGTTCCGGAGGGCGTCCCACGCACGACCCCGGACCAGGACCCAGAGCCCTCCGCCGATGATGACCAGCAGCGCCAAGACCTTGGCTACGGTGCACAGGTTCATGAGCCCAGTGGCCAGCCTCACGCTCCGGCAGTTGACCAAAGCGACGATGAGGATGCAGGCGGCGGCCGCAAACTTCACCAGCACCACCGGCATCAAGGGGCAGCCGGGGTAGAAAGGAGCCATCGCATACTCTGCGAAGGTCAATGACATGGCGGCAATCGCAGCCGGTCTGACCAGCAGGGTGGATACGTAAGTCACCAGGAAGGCGGGGAGGGACCCGAAGGTCCTGAGGATATAGATGTAGTCTCCTCCGGACTCCGTGATCAGTGTGCCCAGCTCCGCATAGCTCAGCGCTCCCAGGGTGGCCAGGAGACCGCAGGCTGCCCCCGGGGCTGCCCATGTGGTAGAGCACACGCTGAGGATTCATGAAGATCCCGGCGCCGATCATGCAGCCTGCGATCAGCGACACGGAGCTGGCCAGTCCCAGCTCCCTCCGAAGCCGCAGCTTGGCGGGCTCCGCATCCCTGGGAAATGGCGGCCTTTCCTGCTCTTCCCCCATTGTCTCTGAGCCGCTGCCAACAGGTGCTGTGGGCAGCGAGGAGCAGGGACCGAGACTGAGTCGGGACCGAGTTAATGATTACACCTGGAGTTTGGCCGACAGGACGAAGGGCCCTGAACCAGCGGGTGAAGAGACCCAACTACCTCTAGAGGCAGAGCACCCTTGACTTCACTTGGGACAGGGCAGTCCAGGGCAAGACGCCAGGCGTTTGGAGTCAGGGAACTGAATGCGAATCTGGCCTCTGCTCTTTGCTATCAACCAACAGCACCTACTTGTTTATTTAGTGCCAGGCACTATGCCAAGCCCTGGGGATGCAAAGAGAAGCAGACAGTCCCTGCCCTCAGGGAGCTTACAGTCAAATGGGGGAGACAGCATGAAACAAATACATACCGACAAGCTATATCCAGTAAAAAATAGGGAGTAATTAGCAGAGGGAAGGCGCTAGAATGAAGAGGGGGTGGGAAGACTTACTGTAGAAGGCGGGATTTTAGCTGGGACTTAAAGGAAGCCAGGGAGGTCAGGAGTCAGAACTCGGAGGGAGAGTGATCCAGGCCTGGGAGGCAGAGAGAATGCTGGAGCCCAGAGATGGAGGGGCTTGTTCATGGGACAGCCGGGAGGTCAGGGGGGGCACTGGATTGAAGAGCTCCTTCGGGGAGTAAAGTGTGAGAAGACTGGAAGCGGAGGGGGGGTGTTAGGAAGGGCTTTGACGCTGAATGGGATTTCGCTTTTGCTCCCCGAGGCCATAGGAAGCCAGTGCGGTTTATTGAGAAGGGCAGTGACATGGTCAGACCTGTGCTTTAGGGAAATCACTTTGGTGGCTGGAGGATGGACCGAGTAGGGGGAGACCCAGGACAGGCAGGACCACCACCTCCCCCGGAAGCTATTGCCACGATCCAGGTGTGAGGTGATGGGGTCTGCACCAGGGTGGGGGCAGCGTCAAAGGAGACAAGCTGTAGAGGTGCATCTCCTGGCCTCCTTCTGCCTCAGTTTCCTGCTTTTTAAAATTAGGGGATTGGCCCAGATCAGGAGTCTCAACCTTTTTGTGTTCTGTATCCCACTCTGGCGAAGCCTACAGATCCCTTCTCAAAACCTTTCTTGGTTGCCCACAAAGGGAAGGAAACAGCTAACTTTCAGTTGGACCTTAGTGAAACTAAAGATATAATTTTTTTCCCATCCAAGTTCATGGACCCCTTGAAATCTGCCCATGAACCCCAGGTTAAGGACTCTTGGACTAGTACTATCTAACCCTGATCCCTTTGCCTGCTGAGCTGGAACCAGGAAGTCTAGCACCTGGGGCAAATTTAGAATGGGCAGGGAGGAGAAGGGGTGCAATCTGAAGTGTTAGCCAAGGGATAATTGTGATGAGGCTGGGAGGTCCAGGTACACTTGACCCCAACGAAGATCCCTGACCCTGGAGGCTCTGGGCTCCCTTGGAGCAGTTTGGGGCCAAAGGAGAAAATGGCAGGGAAGGAAGGAGTAATATGGAAAGAGAGTCCTTGGGGAGGGGGGAGAAGCCTGGCACTCAGGTGGAGGCAGACCCTCTGCTGGGATACCATAAGCCCCTTAGAGCTGTAAGCAAGGGAAAGAAGTCCCATCACTGCAGAATCCCATCTGGGGGGGGCCCGGCCACCTTATGGGTTGACTCACACAGTCAGGACCCAGAATGTGACAGGAGGCAGGGACGGCCATGGCCACCCACACCTGAACAAGATTTCTTTCTTCTTCACCCCTGGCAAGTAGTGATCCATCCTCTGCCTGAAGACCTCTGGAAGGTGGACCCCACGTATAGTGGGAAAAGCCTGGAGTCAGAGGACATGGGTTCAAATCCTCCCCCTCTGATGGCCAAGTCTCTTAAGTGCCTCAGGCCTCATTGTCCTCCTCCATAATACGCAGGAGTTTGCCTCAGTGACCCTTCCAGCTCAGCCTTCTGACCCAGGCAGCCCATTTCCTTCAGGAGAGAAGGTTAGAAAGCTTTTTTTTTTTTAATCTGCCTATTCATAATTCTACCCCTGAGGCCAAAGGGAGCCCCCCTTCAGCTGGATGCCGAGTCTCCTTGCTGTTACCCAACCCCAAGGCCTTGGGTCTCCTGCCTGGACATTCCTAGCTCTTGCAAGCCAACTGGGAAGATGGAGTAAATTGAGCAAAACAAGCCCACATGCATTCCTTAAGTGCCTTCTCGTACTTAGCCTGGCTGAGGGGAGCTGAATCATCTTTCAGTCTGTCTCCAGACACCTAGCACCTCCCAAGGAGATAACAGATTGGTGGGAGCAGGGCTGGGACGCAAGCAGCTCTGAAATGAGGGAAGAGGAGACAAGTGTGGCCAAGGGGTCAGAGGAGGGTGACACCTTGGGCAGGCATTGCTGGCATGGGGGCTGGTGAGGACAAAGGCCCAGAGATGGGAGAGGGTAGGAAGAGATGGGAAGGAAGCAGCTGGTCGGGACGGCTTCTGGAGGAGCTGCCAGAACTTCATGGGGCCCTGCGGATGAAGCCTGCACCTTGCCTCAAATCTCACCTTGGATGTTTCCTGGCTGTGGAATCAGTTAGCCTCTCTGGGGAGCAGTGCCAGGAGTGAGATTTCAGGGTGAGCATCGGCACCTTGGAAACCAACCAACTCATAAGTTGGGGCTGGGCTGATTGTCAGGTGGATTGTCTAGACTTAAGAAGGTGTGAAATCGGATTAAATTTAGGGTGCGTCCTGCTTGCTCTTTTTTCCTTTGGAGAGCTGGTTGTTAAACATTTGCCTGTACACCCTTATTAGTTATGCTTTCTATAAAATGAGGATACCCAACTTTGTGAGATTGCTATGAGTCCCAAGTGAGAAAATGCATGTAAAGGGCTTTGCAAACTTCCAGACGGAAGGAGGGGATACACACTTGTATAGTCCCCCACTGTGTGCCAGGCACTGGGCTAAGTGCTTCACAAATATCAACGCATTTAATCCTGACAACAGCCCTGGGAGGTAGATTTGACAGAGGAGGAAACTGAGGCAGGCTTGCTGCACAGCTGGGAAATATCTGAGGCTGGATTTGCACTCATCTTCCCACCCCCTCAATGCCTCTGGTGGAATAATTGAAATTATCTCTAATAAAAAGAGATTTTAAACAAGACATTCTGAAACTCTTGTCGTCATCTTTTTTGATTATTACTCAAACCTTTTAGCGGTTCGATGCTGTGTTATCTTCACGTTTAGCTCACAGAATCCAGACTGGGCAGGCGCCTGGGGGGGCCATCTGTTTCTTCAGACCAGTGCCTGAACAGATGGTCCTTAAACGATTTCATGTAAGTGGCCATCCATGAAAGCCCATTGCAAACCTTCAGGCCAGCCTAAATGTTGGTTTATTGGTATGACGATCATACAGTCTTTGCTTGAAGACCTCTTGTGACAGGGAGCTCACTACTTCCTGAGACAGTCTCGCTTGGTTTCTAGGCCGTTCTTCCTTTGATTCAGGTGGAATCTCCTCTTTTGGGTGGAGGGGGGTGGGGGTGGGAAGGGTGGAGTGCACTTTTCTATTTTGTTGTGAAGTGGAAAGAACAGCTGTTTTGGAGACAGAGGACCTGAGTCCTGGGTCTGACCAGTTTTAATTGAGAGCGGTCCTGTAGATCCGGAGCTCCTTGAGGGCAGGGACTAATTTGCCTTTCTCTGTACCCGTATCCCTGGCACACAATAGGCGCTCAATCAATGCTGACCTTGGGCCAGTAAGACGCAGAAAGCACCAACATCCCAAGGTTGTTGTGAGAAAATGTTTGATGAGCCTCGAAGAATTTTAGAAATGTAAATCATCAGCATTAGTTCTGGCTTCTGGGGTGCAATGGAAAAAGTTTGATTGACTCCTGAATTCGTTGTTGCCCTCCAGTCCTGTCTGACTCTTGACAGATGAGGAAACTGAGGCAAATAAGGGCCAGTCACTTGCCCAGGGTCACCCAGTCAGGGTCTGAAGCCAGATTTGAACTCGAGAAGATGAACCTTCCTGATTGCTGTCAGGTTATCCACTGCTCCATCTGCTGGCCCTAGGATAGTTGTGAACACTGCCTCATCCACAGCTAGGAATCTGAGAAGCGGAAGACTCAGAGCTCGACCCCGGGTCTCTCGGCTCCCAGCCCTGGGCTACCGCCACTGCACTAGTCGCCTCCTCCGCAGATGGAGGTTTGCGCTGCGCCTTCCCTGCGGCTGTCCTCAAATGCTATGGGAAGACGCCCCCTGGAGGCTCCGTGCTGCCCCAGTCTCCACCTTGCAGTGTTTCTGGTGCACTCCAGTCCATTCCCACGCTGCGCGAGGAGTGAGGGTCTGCAGATCCACTTGGCCTTTATTTTCATGCCTTGCTTCAGCACCATCCTCATTCCTGCCAAACTGGTCTGGGTGACTCCCCTGCGGGCTCCCCCTCTTTAACGATACAGCCTGTCAAGGAGCCACCCCTCCCCGTTTGCAATCGTGTCCCTGCAAGCAGCCGAGCCCGAGGGTGGCGTGGCTATTACCACAGAACTGCGCAGAGGTGCCTTGTGATTGGCCAAGAGGCAGACACAGTCGGTAGTGAATTAATTACCGGGTCTGGAGAGGCTCATTTCCTGGAGAAGTTAAAGCATAGGGCATCATCTTGCCAGCCTTAAGCTGGGTGTCTCTCCCGCATATTTTTAAGCCTGGGACATGATTTTCCTCTAAGAATGGAAGAGAGAGACCGACTGATGGGATGAAAAGGAGCTCAGGCCATTAAAATCAAAGGGACCTGTAAATGACAAGACCAGATTTGGAGTCAGCTCACCCTGCTCCTCGGTTCTGGCTACCTTTGTGACTTTGGGCAAATCCCTTCCTTTCTGTGGGCCTCAGTTTTCTCATCCAGACAATGGGAGGGTGGATGAGAGCATCCCTTTCAGTTCTAAACTCTAATATGCTCTTTCGCATATACTATGAAATATACTATTTCATAAATTCCAAGAAGTTACATCCCCACTGATAATGTACAACACACAACAGGCTGCAGCCTTGCTATCCAAGACATCTGTTG